CGAGTTACAATGTAATATAATTGAATAAAGATTTTAATTACGAATTACAATGTAACTGAATTGAATGGAAATCTGAATTACAAATTACAATGTAATTTAATTGAACGGAAATCAGAATTACCAATTATACATTGTAATTGAATTGAATATGGAAATCTGAATTACGAATTGAACGGAGATCTGAATTACGAGTTACAGTGTAATACAATTGAACGAAGATCTAAATCACGAATTACAATGTAATATAATCGAACGAAGATCCGAATTACGAATTGCAATGTAATATAATTGAACAAAGATTTGAACTGCAAATTATAATGTAATCGAATTGAATGGAAATCTGAATTACAAATTACAATGTAATATAATTGAACGAAGATCCGTATTACGAATTACAATGTAATATAATTGAACGAAGATCCGAATTACGAGTTACAATGTAATTGAATTGAACGAAAATCCAAATTACAATGTAATATAATTGAACGAAAATCCAAATTACGAATTACAATGTAATACAATTGAACGGTGATCCAAATTACAAATTACAATGTAATATAATTGAACGAAAATCGAAATTACGAATTGCAATGTAATATAACTGTAACGGACATCTGAGTTACAAATTACAATGTAATATAATTGAACTGAGATCTAAATTCCAAGTTACAATGTAATATAATTGAACGAAGATCTAAATTACGAATTACAACGTAACATAATTGAACGAAAATCCGAATTACAAATTACAATGTAATATAATTAAACGAAAATCCCTATTACAAATTACAATGTAATACAATTGAACGAAGATCTAAACTCCAAGTTACAATGTAACAAAATAGAACGGAGATCTATAAATGACCAATTACAATGTAATCGAGCCACTTTGTAAATCATAATTCCTCCTGCATTTCAACACAGCAATTCCGCGCAACTCTGTTCCGTTCGATTCGCCGGAACGGTCGCTTAAAAAATACTCTCAAAATCAAAAAAGCGAAAAATCGAGACCGAGAAGACCGTTTTGCATACTCGCGCGTTTTCCGGGTACATCGGTACATCGCGAGCGTCACGAATCCTAACGGGGGCGGGTTATTAAAACGACCCGTTTAAAAAAAAAAGTATCGACGACGACGACGACGCGTTTAATCTTGTCTCGTTCTTTCGTAGGCACCGCTTGGGGCTACATCGAGTCGTTCCTCTTTTGGCTGATCCAGGACTTAGGTGGATCAAGATCACTCATGGGTATCACCATAACCGTAGGCGGTATAGCCGGCATACCATTACTGGTTCTATCCGGGCCAATCGTGTCGAAGATCGGCCACGCCAATGTGCTGTTCATAGGCTTCGTTTTTTACGCCATAAGACTTTGCGGTGAGCATCCATATTAATTCCTGCACGTCCGCAGTAACTCCGGTGATAATTGCGGCCGGCCTTGATATTACGGCAGAAGCACCGGCTGCGCGATTTTTCTGCTCGCCCCGCGTCGCACCCTCCGCCCTAACCCCTTCCGCCGCGCACCCCGACGCCGACCGCATTAATCTTGTCTTTCGAGGCCGGTTTTTTAGAGACTGCTTCAACAACCCCGCCGTTCTAATTCATTTAGCTACCGCGACAACTTTGTTGCAGCGTGTCGCCATCTTTTCGATCGACTTCGGCCAATTATCGGCGCGCCGGTGTGTGTGTTGTGTTTTTAATGTGGCTCCTACGTTAGATAGAAGGATAGAGAAAATAGAAAGCTGTTACTTTTGATGTTATTGCTTCGGAGATACTGTTTTACTAATGATAATGTGAAAGACGTAAAGAAGAATATAAAGAATAATAATATATTATTAATTAATATAATATAGAAAACATTATTATTCATATATAATTAATAATATATTATAAAAAACATTATTATTCGTATATAATTAATAATAATATAAAAAACATTATTATTCATATATAATTAATAATATTATAGAAATCATTATTATTAACGTAAAATTGATAATAATATAAAGAGCATTGAGAGTGTCGATGACAATTTGAAACAATTTTAAACGATTTTTCATTCGAACTTTAATAAATAAATACAATCGCTCTCGATATCAAAGGGTTGAAGCAATTATCACCATTTTTCTTTTCTCTTTAAGAGAATAATGTCTGTGTCAGCATGATTATCACAATTGTTTGTGGTATTTACGATAGATCAGCCTTTATAATATTATGTTTAATTCGATTTTCTCTTGCAGGTTACTCGATTATTTACAATCCGTGGCACACGCTTATATTCGAGGCGCTCGAGTCGGTGACTTTGTCGCTCAGTTTCACCGCCGCTGTTACTTACGCTGCTAAATTGTCCACCACCACCACCGACAGCTCGATACAAGGGCTGTTAGGCGGTGTATATTATGGAGTAGGTCTGTACTCATTCCAGAAGTATATTGTAGAAAATTGTACATTTTCCTGTGACAAGATGTTTCAGCGGAAATGGCGAGGTTAATTATTTATTGCTTTAGAAAATTTGGGTCTTGCAGTGTTCAATTCAGCTGTTATTTTATGTGTATATATTTTATTATAGTTTCCAAATTTCGAATGAATTCTTATTCGAACGAATTCTTATTCGAATAAATTCTTATTCGAATGCATACTTATTCAAACGAATTCTTATTCGAATGAATACTTATTCAAACGCATTTTAATCCGAATGAATTCTTATTTGAATAAATTCTTATTCAAACGAATTCTTATTCGAATAAATTCTTATTCGAATGAATTCTTATTCGAATGAATACTTATTCAAACGAATTCTTATTCGAACGATTTTTCATCCGAATGAATTCTTATTCGAACGAATTTTTATTCGAATAAATTCTTATTCAAACGAATTCTTATTCGAATGAATACTTATTCGAACGAATTCTTATTCGAATGAATACTTATTCAAACGAATTCTTATTCGAACGATTTTTCATCCGAATGAATTCTTATTCGAATGAATACTTATTTGAACGAATTCTTATTCGAATGAGAATACTTATTCGAACGATTTTTCATACGAATGAATTCTTATTCGAACGAATTTTCATTCGAATAAATTCTTATTCGAACGAATTTTCATCCAAATGAATTCTTATTCGAATGAATACTTATTCGAACGAATTCTTATTTCAATGAATACTTATTCAAACGAATTCTTATTCGAATAAATTCTTATTCGAACGAATTTTCATCCGAATGAATTCTAATTCGAACGAATTTTCATCCGAACGAATTATCATTTGAACAAAATCTTATCCGAATCTTTTATCTAGATAAATATTTATTCCATTCTATATCTATTCGACAGAGAACCGAATAATATTTCCTTCGCCAGTCTTCGTCTTCTATCCATCGTCCGAACGAAATCTCGCTAATTCCGACGAAAAAAAGCCCCCCACAATCTCTGAGATCCTGATCCAGAACAATCTAACACCGATAAAAACGCTCTTCGTGTCCCTGATTCCAGGAAAAGGTTCCGGAAGCCTGATCGGCGGCTACCTGATGAAGGCGTTCGGTACCCGGCCGACCTACCGCATCTTCGCTGGGCTGACCTTGGTTACCGGGGTGATGTACTACATCTTCAACGTGGCGTACCTGAAGAAGCGTCCGCAGGTCGAAGGAAACGAGATCGTGAAGAAGAAGCCGAAGAACGCGGAGAATCGAAACGGCGTGGAGCCCGGAATCATCGAGATACCGATGGAGGAGAAGAAGAAGAAGACGTCGACGACGACGAAGAAGAAGAACGAGGAGCCACGCGACGAGGTCGAGACGAAGGCGAAGAAACCGCGGAGCGATCTGTGCGACGGCGGCGTCGACAACGAGGCGTTCGCCAAGGATTCCGAGAACACGAGGAAGCCGCGGGAGAACGGAAGCCGGCCGGCGAACGACATCGAGGCGGTGAACAACGCGAAGAACCTCGACAGCATCGAGAGGGCGGAGGACAACGGCCGGAAGAAGTCGAAGAAGGGGAAGAAGAGGGCGGAGGAACGGGAACGGGCGAAAGAATGCTCGCGGCAAAACGGCGCGACGAATCCGGGATTCGACGACGAACAGGATCGGTGTAACGTCACCATCGAGAGCCAGCCGGATGACAAGAAATGAACACGAAAGTTCCTTCAGGGATCTCCGTACCGCCTTTCTTCGTTGTTCCAACGATCGATCGATCGATCGATCACGGGAACTGCGATCCGCGTCGGAAACGAGGTGCCGCGGGGACAGTGGAAATATTTCCGGATCGCCGTTACCACGGCTTTCGACGCGATTTCGTTGGCGATAGTCTCCCTAATTGTCCCTCTTTTTGGTCTCCCTAATTGACGCGCAGTTTGGGAACAAAGATGGACAATTTGGGAAGAGATGGCACGATTTATTGGTTGTTGACAATCGGTGGCTGTAATAATCGTATTATAATAATATTATATAATTATTATATGTATGTAATTATTGTACAGGGTGTCCCAAAAATACCTCGTAATACGGAAATGGGAGATTCCTCGGGTCATTCGAAGCAAGTTTTTTCTTTGCGAAAATGCGATCCTTGGCTTCGTTTACGAGTTATTGACGAACAAACAGGGACCAATGAGCGCGCGGAGCCCAGCTCCGCCCATTGGCTTGGCTGACGCGAGACGGTAGAGCTCGCCTCCTATTGGTCAGTGTTTGTTCGTTGGTAACTCGTAAACGAAGCCGCGAATTGCATTTTTGCAAAGGAAAAAGTTGTTGCAAATGACCCGAGGAATCCCTTGTTTCTGGCTGCGAGACATTTTTGGCCTGTATATATATATATATACAGACTGTCAACACATAATAATAATATTATTATTATTATATATTATTATATTATATTATATTATAATATTATACACATATCTGATATTATAGTATTATATAAATATTATTACAATAATCGTATCTGATCTCCCCAGATTGTCCACCTTTGTTTCCAAGCTGAGGGTCAATTAGGGAGAATTTACATGGTCCAGCACCGATTCTTTATACTCGTGCGAAAATGATAGTATTCGAAGCGCAACGGTGCGCCCCTAAGTGTTCGAACGATGCTCCTAGGAACATATGTATTATCGTAGATTTTACATAGATTTTACACCGAAACTCCAGCAACGCTGGAGCTATTACATGACATCGAATTTTCGGCAAATTTAACGGATTCGTTGATCCAACGAGTCGAAAAACGAATACGAGAATCTTTGAAATTACAATTGCTGTCGTTCGAACGCTTAAGCGCGGATATTACTCTAACTTATTGCAAGATCTTCGATAGTACCATGTATCCGTAACACGGAATACGGTCGATCATCCCAGGAAATCGTTACTGGAACGCATCGTAAATTAAACGTCGTGCATGTACTTCAATGTATCGCAGTGCCGAGTGTCGAAAATACGTAGATATATGTATAGTAACGCTGATGCTCTATTTTGTACACCGTTTTCGTTTCCTTCGTTTTCAATGTAATATTTTAGCGTAGAATGTTGCAGTATCGTCGCACACACACACACAAGATAATAGGTAGAGATCATTTTAGTGCGCGCGAATGTCGATCAAGTATGTCGAGTTGCTCGACAAATATATATATACACATATTTTTGTAATTATTATCAAAGTTATATATGTATGCATATTTTCTCAACGAGGCAGAGTAATATAATTATGTAATATAAACGACACGAGTATGTCAATTATGTAGGCGCCGGCCGTGGAAAGTTTTACAAGTGCATGCGCGCGTAATTAAAATAATTCGTGGTTGTATTACAATGTAATTGAGATACGATGCAATTGAGATACAATGCAATTGAAATACAATGTAATTGAAATGGAATTTAATTGAATTACAATGTAATCGCAAAATAATGCAATTGAAATACAATATAATTGAATTACAAATGTAATTGAACTACACTGTAATTGAATTACAATGTAATTGAACTACAATGTAATTGAACTACAATGTAATTGAACTACAATGCAATTTAACCACAATGTAACTGAATTACAATGCAATTGCAAGTCTGCACGGAAGCCGGAATTTCAGAACAAATCGCATATACTCTGTTCGATCAAGTTCGACGCGAAAGGCTCGCTTGAGATTGATCGAAATTCGAATTTAACCATGAAGCGTGTGAGATCTATAAATAAGTTCAGACGTAAAGAAAAGTAATATATGTATAATAAAATAACGATGCGCGACATTTTCGTACAAGCATGTGTTTTGCGAGCGTGTCGCAAAATTGTAACTCCGAGCCGAGCCCGACGAAACGTGTCCTTTCCACGCGTTCAAATCACTGGAAACGCACTCTCCTAACCACGCATCGAAGTCACCGGGGCATAGTCTTTCGTCATAGTCTTTTAATCGCGTCTACGGCCTCGTCGCTACAGTAGCTAGCTCCATTGTCCATTTACGATCGTTCGCCATGCGGGATTAACAGATTCTTTAGCGAACATTGAATGGATTTTTACATTGATAATTTACGTTCAGAACTACAGTAATGTCTCCCTAACTGACGCACAGATTGTGCAGAAAAATGGATAATTTGGGGAGAGGAGACGTGATTATTCGAGCCTCGCAGCTCGTTTTTATGGTTGTTGACAATTCGTACCACAGATTGGAGAACACGCAAGGGTTACTATAAACTGCTGTAACTTTGCAAGAAAAAATCGTAGCCGAGTTTCTTTTTTATCAAATTAAAGGGGAAAGATCGAACTTCGTTCTGCCGTGAACGGCATCTCGGAGAAAAATTGTCCAAAGTCCGTGCGATTCGTCGAACTCGACGATACGACGTATGACGTACGACGAACATGGCCTCGCATTTAAAGGGTTACAGTGGCGTGGATGCGTGGAACTTAAAATCCAGGCACGCTGTCCGATAGCAGAGGTTTCGAGCTTTAATTTAAAAAAAGAGTCATCGTCCCGAGGTGATTTTTCGCGGAGTTATCGTCGCTCGAAGTTGTCCTCTGTTAAAACTCGATATCTCGCTTCCAAGTACAGTAATGTCTCCCTAACTGGCGCTCAGATTGTACACAAAAATGGACAATTTGGGAAGAGAAGGTGCAATATTTTTAGAACTTTGCGCCTCGTTTATTATACTTACCGATTGTCGACAGCTATAAAAACGAGGCGCGAGGCTCGAATAATCGTATCTCCTCCTCCCAAATTGTCCATTTTTCTGCACAATCTTGGCGTCAATTAGGGAGACATTACTGTACACGGTAGATACGTACAGTAGATCAGCGTTCACGTTTTCCTGATTGCTTCACTATGCGAGTTAAAAAACCGTATTTTCGATTGATTCGCACGATTCGTTCGGCATTACGTTATTATTTATATCGACACGTAAGATCGGAACCATACTATTATATTTTACTATTATATTTTATTACTATATTTTATTATTGTTACATTTTATTATTATTATGTTCTATTATTATTATTTATTATCTGTGGTAATAATAATGCTAAAATAATAATAATAATATTATTATCATAATCGGTTATTTATGTAAGTTATAAATATTTTATTATTATTACATTTTACTATTATATTTTATTACTATATTTTATTACTGTTACATTTTATTATTATTATTTGGTATATTATACTCTATTATTATTATTTATTATTTATTATCTGTGGTAATAATAACGTTACAATAATAATAATGCTGAAATAATAATAATAATATTATTATTATATTATTATTATTATTATAATCGGTTATCTGTATAAGTTTATTGTACATCGGCGTCGTAGTTTTACAAATGCGATTCTTTGTAGGCTATCGAGTCGATTTTGACGTTTCGACGACAATGCGCTGTTTCGCGATTCATTCTTAATCCGATTTTTTTTACTATTCTGCTCCTGCGATCGTTCTCCTCCTAAATCGAATACAATAAAAAAAAAAAGAAAAATGAAGAGAGACAAAAAGTAAAAAAATTGTCGGCAATGCCTTTGAGATGCCGAGAGTAGCGTTCCGAAACAATTTAATGAACGCAGCTGTTCGGAGGAAACAATCGTAATTACCGGATCGCGGATCGTTGCGGAACATAAAAATTTGTTGCGTCTATTGCAAAAAGCAAAAAGCAAAAACAAAACAAGACAGCAGAAGTAACTTTAGAAGCGTCGATCTTTTCTGTCGAACAAATATTAATCGTTCGTGAAAATATTACATCGACGTTGTTTAAAGGCTTCTAAATTCCGATCGAGATTACGGCCACTCGTATTTCTGTCGTAAATCCATAAAATTCGCGGCCTAGTAATTACAGTAATTACTAGAGAATTCGAAGAATTACGGCGGAACACATAAAATAGCGAGAGAATCGAAGGCAACGAAAAATGCCGATACGATGATCGCAACTTGTTATAATTATTTGAGAAAGTCTTCCAAATTGTCTTGCAAATTGACGCGGACAATTTTTAATTGCACTTCCAAGAGCGTTGCGCGATGCTCCGGGAATTTCGGTGTCCTTTGAAACCGCGTACAGCAATGTCTCCCTAATTCGCGCTCGGATCGCGCACGAAAATGCACGATTTGGGGAAAGGAGACGCGATTGTTCGAGCCTCCGGGCTCTTTTTCATAGTGATCGATCGTCGACGACTATAAAAACGAGCCGCTAGGCTCGAACAGTCGCGTCGCCTCCTCCCAAATTGTCCGTTTTCGTGCGCAATCTGCGCGCGAATTAGGGAGACATTACTTTACTCCCAAATTCGCGCTCGGATGACGCTCGAAAATGGGCAATTTCGGGGAGAGAAGACGCGATTATTCGAGCCTTGCACTCGTTTTTATAATCACCGATTGGCAATAACTATAAAAGCGAGTCGCGAGGCTCGAACAATCGCATCGCCTCCTCCCAAATTGTTCATTTTTGGGCGCAATCTGCGAGCGAATTAGGGAGACATTACTGTACTCCCAAATTCGCGCTCGGATGGCGCACGAAAATGGACAATTTCGGGGAGAGAAGACGCGATTATTCGAGCCTTGCGCTCGTTTTTATAATCACCGATTGGCAATAACTATAAAAACGAGTCGCGAGGCTCGAACAATCGCATCGCCTCCTCCCAAATTGTCCATTTTTGGGCGCAATCTGCGCGCGAATTATGGAGTAATTACTGTACGATGAAAACGTTTCCGTCGGACATTTTTATTAGATAATAACAAAAATGTATATCGATATATGGACCGTTTATTTTGAAGTTTTTTGGGGACTTTCGCTAGTCCATTTTTTGTTGTTTCGAGAAAATTGAAGGCTAGCGTGTCGGCCGATTGAAAAATATAAATTAATTGCGTCGAGTCTGGCAATGTTTCGACGACTGTAAAAGCGAGACACGAGACTCGAACAGTCGCGTCGCCTCCTCCCAAATTGTCCGTTTTCGTGCGCAATCTGCGAGCGAATTAGGGAGACATTACTGTACTCCCAAATTCGCGCTCGGATGGCGCACGAAAATGGACAATTTCGGGGAGAGAAAACGCGATTGTTCGAGCTTTGCGCTCGTTTTTATAATCACCGATTGACAATAACTATAAAAACGAGTCTAGAGGCTCGAACAATCGCGTCTCCTCTTCTCGAAATTGACCGTTTTCGTGCGCAATCTGCGCGCGAATCAGGGAGAAATTATACCGTGAATCGACGAGCGTTCCGGTTTCGTCGCAACAGAGCCGAACGCGTTTTTTGTTTCCGCGTGCGGCAAACGCGAAACTGTAACCGCGCGCCCGCCCTTGAAACATTGTTAAGAACTCAATTATCCGCGATAAAGAGTAACGGCCCAGAAAACGGATATTAAAAGCTGTGTACGAGAGGTAAGCTACTAATAGGACACACGCTGTTAAATAATGAAAACGCAGTGGCGGTTCCGCGAAGAAACAATGTGATATAACTATGCAGGAAATAGTGCGTAATTGCAACTTCCCTAATTGTACTGGTTGTAAAGACGATAATTAGAGTTAAATAAACGGTGGTACAACCCGATTGAAAAGGATTTCCTTATTGTCGCATTTTTTCCAGGGAAGCTGTGGGACACGTTCGCGGAAAAACGGTGACGGCCGTTCTTCGACGAGCGGACGACTTTTTTGCATTGCGAACATTTCTACTGATTTTTGTCGACGCGAATTTTTTATTCGACCGATATTTGTCGGTACAAATTTTCTATTCGACGAGCGATTTTTGACGGTGCAAATTTTTTACAAGACGACCGATTTTTGTCGATGTAAATTTTTTATTCGACCGATTTTTGTTGATGCGAATTTTTTATTCGACCGATTTTTGTCGACGCAAATTTTTTATTCGGCCGATTTTTACCGATACCATTTTATATTTAACAATTTTCTGCGATGGTATTTTTATATTCGAACGGAAGTAACGAATAAAGGATTAATCGTCCTAGGACAGCAGAGCCAGTTACTGTGTGCGATGCGATCAAATTACAATTAATCTATTACTTTGTAATTTTATGGAATGGCGATCTGTATTACATATTACAATGTAATTGAATTTCGATATACGTAATTGAATTGCTTTGGAATTTAATTCGATGGAGACCTGAATTACGAATTACAATCTAATTGAATGTCAATATAATTGAATTACTTTGGAATTGAATTCGACGGCGATTCTCATTAGAAATTGCACTATAATTGAATTTCAATACAATTGAATTACTTCGTAATTACAGTTCCCTGAGTACAATACAACTGCAATTCTCTGCTCAACTCTGGCCCACAGTAACTGGCTCCACTGCTGCCTAAATCCTTAAAACAATTAATATAATTAATATAAGAATAAATTAAATTTCGATATACGTAATTGAATTACTTTGGAATTTAATTCGATGGAGACCTGAATTACGAATTACAATCTAATTGAATGTCAATATAATTGAATTACTTTGGAATTGAATTCGACGGCGATTCTCATTACAAATTACACTATAATTGAATTTCAATACAATTGAATTACTTCGTAATTACAATTCCCTGAGTACAATTCAACTGCAATTCTGCGCAACTCTGGTCCCACAGTAACTGGCTCCACTGCTCTGCCTAAATCCTTAAAATAATTAATATAATTAATATAAAAATAAATTAAATTTCGATATACGTAATTGAATTACTTTGGAATTGAATTCGATGGAGATCTGAATTACGAATTACAATCTAATTGAATTTCAATATAAATGAATTACTTTGGAATTGAATTCGACGGCGATTCTCATTACAAATTACACTATAATTGAATTTCAATACAATTGAATTACTTCGTAATTACAATTCCCTGAGTACAATTCAACTGCAATTCTGCGCAACTCTGGTCCCACAGTAACTGGCTCCACTGTTCTGCCTAAATCCTTAAAATAATTAATATAATTAATATAAAAATAAATTAAATTTCGATATACGTAATTGAATTACTTTGGAATTGAATTCGATGGAGATCTGAATTACGAATTACAATCTAATTGAATTTCAATATAATTGAATTACTTTGGAATTGAATTCGACGGCGATTCTCATTACAAATTACACTATAATTGAATTTCAATATAATTGAATTACTTCGTAATTACAATTCCCTGAGTACAATTCAACTGCAATTCTGCGCAACTCTGGTCCCACAGTAACTGGCTCCACTGTTCTGCCTAAATCCTTAAAATAATTAATATAATTAATATAAAAATAAATTAAATTTCGATATACGTAATTGAATTACTTTGGAATTGAATTCGATGGAGATCTGAATTACGAATTACAATCTAATTGAATTTCAATATAAATGAATTACTTTGGAATTGAATTCGACGGCGATTCTCATTAGAAATTACACTATAATTGAATTTCAATATAATTGAATGAATTCGTAATTATAATTCCCTGAGTACTATTCAACTGCAATTCCCTGCGCAACTCTGGCCCCACAGTAATTGGCTCCACTGCTGCCTAAATCCTTAAAACAATTAATATAATTAATATAAGAATAAATTAAATTTCGATATACGTAATTGAATTACTTTGGAATTGAATTCGATGGAGATCTGAATTACGAATTACAATCTAATTGAATTACTTTGGAATTGAATTCGACGGCGATTCTCATTACAAATTACACTATAATTGAATTTCAATATAATTGAATTACTTCGTAATTACAATTCCCTGAGTACAATGCAACTGCAATTCTGCGCAACTCTGGTCCCACAGTAACTGGCTCCACTGCTCTGCCTAAATCCTTAAAATAATTAATATAATTAATATAAAAATAAATTAAATTGTTTCGATTGCCGGCGAAAGAACTTGCTCGCCCGTCCGATCTCGGTAACTCGCTGGTCGCCGATTAACCGGTCAAGGACGCCGTTAATCGTCGTTTGTTTCCTTCCCGGGCATCCTCCTCGTGTAGTGTGTGTAACGGTGTGTTACAGTTTGCGAAACAGATTAGAGGAATATTTCTCGATTAGCGGCTCCGTGTTTCGCGGCAGAACTTTCGTCTGTTCGGACGCGATTCCGATGGCTCGGCGTGTTCCGTCGGAGCACCGTATTCGGCGGATCGATCGTGCCGGTAATCGGTGCCGAACGATTCGAGCGATCGCACCGAAGATTGTGTTCCTCGAAATGAAATAAAAATTTGCGTAAGCATCAGCCGGCTTCTAGTAATCGTTATGGTAATTCTAAAGCATCGGCGCAGAGGTTTTGTTGCTGGTTAAATAAACTACGCTACGATTCGATCTGTGGAGTCGAACGAGATTGTGTTCCTCGAACGATCGCGGAACGTTCTAAAAAACAAAAAAAATAGCAGCCAAAAGCTGTGTCGATTGACACAGTGCTAACGATTCAGAAAGCACGAAATTAGTGCGAGGACAATAAATCTCCAGGCTCTAACCGGCGAGATACAGTTACGAGTCTATATAGAAGAGGCGAACAGGAGTTTCTCGATCATTCATCTTTGGCTGCCGGAGAAGATGATGCGCATACTGATCTCGCTCGTTTTAGCGAATCTGTCGGTCGTCGCCTCGGTTCTACCGGAAGTTACGTCATACGCGAAAGTGTCGAGGAACGGCCAGCAGCAGACGGATCTTGGGAACGATCGGACACCGTGGATCACCAGGTTTGATCGATCGATCGGTCCTCGGGAATAAGGGTGGCAAGGGTTGTCGATTAGGTTACCACGGAAAATCATGTTTTAGAATTATATTGTTTAATACAGCATCTATTATTCTTATTCATTTTTATTAGTTTTATTACTCTTATTATATATATAATAAAAGTAATAATAAAAGTAATAAAGTATAGTATATAATAAATATACTATAATATATAATATAGTATATAATAAAAGTAATAAAAATTAGTAAGAATGATAAGGATAATAATAATAAAAACAATTAATAAGAATAATCAAAATAATAAAAATTGCATATATATATAATCATGATTATATATATATATATATATATGCAATTTTTATTATTTTTATTATTTTGATTATTCTTATTAATTGTTTTTATTTTTAATATCCTTATTATTCTTATTAATTTTTATTACTTTTATTATTCTTACTGTTCTTATTCATTTCTATTACTTTTATTATTCCTATTATTCTTATTAATTACTAGTGCATAAATTTCAAATATTTCGTTATACAGGGTGTCCCAAAAATGTCTCGCAATCCGAAAGTGGGGGATTCCTGAGGANAGAATAATAGATGCTGTATTAAACAATATAATTCTAAAACATGATTTTCCGTGGTAACCTAATCGACAACCCTTGCCACCCTTATTCCCGAGGACCGATCGATCGATCAAACCTGGTGATCCACGGTGTCCGATCGTTCCCAAGATCCGTCTGCTGCTGGCCGTTCCTCGACACTTTCGCGTATGACGTAACTTCCGGTAGAACCGAGGCGACGACCGACAGATTCGCTAAAACGAGCGAGATCAGTATGCGCATCATCTTCTCCGGCAGCCAAAGATGAATGATCGAGAAACTCCTGTTCGCCTCTTCTATATAGACTCGTAACTGTATCTCGCCGGTTAGAGCCTGGAGATTTATTGTCCTCGCACTAATTTCGTGCTTTCTGAATCGTTAGCACTGTGTCAATCGACACAGCTTTTGGCTGCTATTTTTTTTGTTTTTTAGAACGTTCCGCGATCGTTCGAGGAACACAATCTCGTTCGACTCCACAGATCGAATCGTAGCGTAGTTTATTTAACCAGCAACAAAACCTCTGCGCCGATGCTTTAGAATTACCATAACGATTACTAGAAGCCGGCTGATGCTTACGCAAATTTTTATTTCATTTCGAGGAACACAATCTTCGGTGCGATCGCTCGAATCGTTCGGCACCGATTACCGGCACGATCGATCCGCCGAATACGGTGCTCCGACGGAACACGCCGAGCCATCGGAATCGCGTCCGAACAGACGAAAGTTCTGCCGCGAAACACGGAGCCGCTAATCGAGAAATATTCCTCTAATCTGTTTCGCAAACTGTAACACACCGTTACACACACTACACGAGGAGGATGCCCGGGAAGGAAACAAACGACGATTAACGGCGTCCTTGACCGGTTAATCGGCGACCAGCGAGTTACCGAGATCGGACGGGCGAGCAAGTTCTTTCGCCGGCAATCGAAACAATTTAATTTATTTTTATATTAATTATATTAATTATTTTAAGGATTTAGGCAGAGCAGTGGAGCCAGTTACTGTGGGACCAGAGTTGCGCAGAATTGCAGTTGCATTGTACTCAGGGAATTGTAATTACGAAGTAATTCAATTGTATTGAAATTCAATTATAGTGTAATTTGTAATGAGAATCGCCGTCGAATTCAATTCCAAAGTAATTCA